TTATAAGTGACGACTAGCACCTTGAAGCGTATCCGGAGACTGATCGGTAACCAGTGTACCGAGGTGCACCCACAATCGCTCACGCGGCTACGTTCTGGATGAGTTGGAAGAAGTAGAGCGGCTTGCTCTCTTTCCACTCTGCTGTCTAAATTGTACCATGCTAACGTTTGCCAAGAGAAAATGTGGCTGGATACATTGGGGGAAGGAGGAAACCATTCTTAAGTCTGCAGCCTTCATCCATTATGCATCACTTTTCCATATGCTGCCATCATCAGGGGGACGATGAACCCTCCTGTTTTAGGAGCTCCCTCCTCGATACCAAGGCAAGATATAAATCAGGGCCTTGAAAGAGAGTGTAGTTCCATGATTCCTAATCCTGGTTTTCCTTCATTGTAATTGTTGCCTTTTATTAGACGACTTTTGATACAACAAAAATACACAGTGTTCCTTCCTGACTCCCAGTGAGAAAGTTCAGGGCCCAAAATTAACAGCATAGCCTTTGTGCACATAGACTGGGGTGTGCCTAATCTTGATATTTGGGTAGCTGCTATCTGGGAGTTTGAGATGGGTTTAATCTGGGATAAAGAAAGGAGCTAATTGTTTGTTTATTACAGCCACAGAATCCCTTGCATCTCCTGATTTAATTCTTTGATTGATTGATTTGATTGATTTTATTTTATTATATTTATATGCCGCCCTTTCCCCCCCGAAGGGGACTCAGGGCGGCTCACAATTCAAATCAGGGAAGGGGAGTACAGACAGAAAATAAAAAACAAAACATAACAATACATAATTTAAAAACACACAACAGTCACAACAGAAGGCCTGGAGGTGGTGAGGGTTCGAATCTCCATGGGGAGTTCGTTCCAGAGGGTCGGAGCAGCCACAGAGAAGGCTCTTTGGATCCTTGAAGTGTGACACTGTATGTGTTTATGCGTCCATATATTGGAGAGCATTTAATGTGGCTGAGAGTCTCTCTGGCAAACTGGCCAGAAAAAGAAAATGGAGAGGGAGAATTGGCATAATAAAAATATAATATCTTTAGAGAACACAATGGTACACTTTTTAAAAGGAAATCAGCATTGAACACCCTGAAAAACCATTATTTATGAAAAGCAACATTTTTATCTGTAGCCTGCTAATTTTAACCAAAACTCATATTTAAAGTTTTCTGTTTTCTAGCATCAGGGTTTACCAATGATTGGATAAGTTCAAGTAGACTTTTTTTTTCTTGACACGGCATGGCTTTTATTGACAGGTCATTGGTTCATCCAGCTTAATGTTTACCATAGACTTTTTCTAATCTGGGGCTCTCTGAATGTCTTGAACCACTAGTCCATTTAATAAGCCAGTAGCTGTAGTGCCAGGGCCCTCTTCTGCAATGAAATAGACAGGGTAACACTCGCAATGGCAACACTCCTTGCAAAGGACAAGGTTTTAGTTGGGTTGACTCAGCCTTCCAGCCTTCCGAGGTGGGTAAAATGAGGACCCGGATTGTTGTTGGGGGCGATATGCTGACTNGACTCTGTAAACCGCTTAGAGAGGGCTGGAAGCCCTATGAAGCGGTATATAAGTCTAACTGCTATTGCTATTCTTTCATAGACATCCCTGCACTGACTCCAACTGATTTGGCGGCCATTCATGGTCAGAATGGGAACGGACTCTCAGACATAATGGGACCCCCCCAAGTCCAATCAGAGGGTGAATCCTGATAGTTCAAGTGGTATAAAAGCAATTCAAGGATCAGGGCCAGGCACTTTCTGAAACTGTACTCTGTCTATGTGTGGCGGTGTGTGTGTGTCTTCTGCTATTTCTTCTTCTTTTGGTTCTGCTCCTCTGTTAAGACCCTCTGTGGAAGGGCCGGCTATAAGTGAACCTGGAGGCCCATCTGCTAAGGCAGCAGGAGGCCCAGGGAAGCCCAACAAGTGGCCTTCCTCGATTTTAGGATGCCCACCAGTGAGCCAGTCTCTAAAGAGACTTTGTTCAAATCAAAGGCAAACAGAAAAAAGATCCCTCTTCGATCGCATTGACTGTGATTCTGAAGAGGGTCGGGGTAGAGCAGGAATCGCGGTGGCCTTGGCAGGCCTTTCCTTCTCCCCCAACACCCCACCTTCCAACCTGCGCTTCTGAACCTGAAACAGCCTCTTCCCCTCCTCTCCCCGCAGATACGCTGGCGGACCAAGGAGGCCCTTGGTTGAAGCTGGCTTTTCGCTCGGTGAAGCCTCCCTCCCTACTGCAAGTCCAGCCGCCCAAGGATCTGCAGGGGTAGCGGAGGGGGCCCGCCTGCAATTTGGCCGGACGGGTGAGGGGACCCGAGGTTTTCTAGGGGAAGGCTGGCTCTTTTGCACCCCCCACCGCCGGCTCAGACCTCTTCCGACGTGATCGCTGCCGGCACACTCGGCCTGCCTTCCTCAGCCGCTTGCTCAGCCTCGGAGGAGGAAAGGCCCGGCCAGAGCCTTCGGCGCCCCACTTTGACAAACGAAGCTGCTGCTGCTTCGCGGCCTTCGAGTGAGAACTGGCCAGAACCGGGCGACGGTTCAACCCGAAAGCAAAACCATTGCGGTGGCTTGGCTGCCTTTTCCAAACCCAGATAGAGCCAGGGAGACTTTTCTCGGGATCCCTTGAAACCGTCTTCCCTGCCCAATAGCCACACGCGCCTCCTGGCTCGCTTTACAACCACCCCGACGTAGGGACGGTTTCAGGGCCTTCGAAGGAGCGGATCCCCCCCCCCGCCCTCGAGTTCTCCAGTTTCGCCTGGGACCGACTTCGGTTTGGAGACGGGAGGAATGGCGGAGACTTTCCATCCCGGGTCCTCACCAGACAAGCCGTCCTCGGAATTTAGGAACGGGGGATGCAGGAAAGGTGTGGGGGGGGGGGAGAGGGAGGGGACGGGGCACATGCGGGCTGGGTGTCTGCCCGTCCCTTGGAATGTCATAGGGAGCGCGAGTGACTTTCAGCCCAAGTGACTTGGCATCACCTTCGCCCCACTGATGTATGGGGTGGCATTTTGATGTCCGGTGGAAATGAATACCTTAAACCGGGCTGGCGCTTCAAGCTTCTACCGGCGGTGCCATGTTCTTCCTCTTCCCCCCCCCCACTTTTATTTTTAAAAATGCGTCCGTTAGCCTCCCTCGCAGCCCCCCCTTCCCGCTAGCTCAGAATTCCCCACCAAGGGAAGAGGTGGGCGGGTTGTGTGTGTGTGTGTGTGCATGCGCGTGTGCGTGCGTGGGGAAGAGATCCTGGCTAGAAGGCATTTCTTCGTCTTGGGAGATTATTAATATCGGGCTTCAAAGGAATCTAAAACTTGCGAGCGAGCGAAGCAACACTTTCTGAACACTGTGTGTGTGTGTGCGTGTGCGCGCGCGCGCGTGCCTGGGTGGGAGGGGGGACTGAGTGGGAGGGAGCTCAAAGGCTGAACAATTTTTTTTTTCCTCCCAAGGCAAAAGTGTTCTCCGTTCCAAACTTTGTCTAAACTTTCACTTTCAGCGCTCCGAGGCGGGGTTACAGAGCAGCATGGAGTAGAGCCGCCGCGAGAAGGAGCCGCAGCAGACCGAGTTATGCAGCTCCTCGCCTGGTGAAGAAGCCGACCCAGAGAAAGCAAAGTCCAAAAGTAACCATGTACTCCCCGTACTGCCTGACCCAGGTAACGACTGGCTGGGCTCGGCGGTGGCCTGGCTNGCCCTCTTCTGCAATGAAATAGACAGGGTAACACTCGCAATGGCAACACTCCTTGCAAAGGACAAGGTTTTAGTTGGGTTGACTCAGCCTTCCAGCCTTCCGAGGTGGGTAAAATGAGGACCCGGATTGTTGTTGGGGGCGATATGCTGACTGTAAACCGCTTAGAGAGGGCTGAAAGCCCTATGAAGCGGTATATAAGTCTAACTGCTATTGCTATTGCTAGTTGCATTAGGCTGCATAGGGAACCACCTTCTCTAGGCCGCCATGCCAGTAGGATGTTGGTTATTGCAATAGCTTCTGTCTGATTATTGTTTATGCTCATAGGGAAGGCTGGGACTTGTAGTCTCGATTCTACTCCATTCAAGGGTTGGGGAAGATTGGTCTTTACTGAAAAACTTCAGCTATTCCCCATCCGGTTTAGGTTCTGCAACAATATCAGGCAGAATTTTTGAATGGCCTTAGCCTGGGATTCATTCTGAGAGTCTTGGTTTGGAAAACTATCCTTTTCTATTGGGCAAGGGTTTTGTATTGAGGAGACCCCAGGACCTCTGTTAGTTGCTCACCACTGAAAGAATGAATAGCTCTTTAGCATTTATTGGCTTGAGATTGGGCACAGACGTGGTTCTCATGTGCCGTAGTCACAGATAGCAGCAGAATGTCACAGATAGGAATGGGTAGTGGATGAGCAAGATCCATGGTGCTAGGTCTAATCCCGGGAAAATAATTTTTTTGCCAACTCACACAGAGCAATGAAAATGCACGAGACACCATTGTCAAATGTTACTTTCTTTTCTAAAAAATTCTTTTTGCATCACTTTTACAAGAGACCATCAGGATTCCATTTAGGAGACAAAGAATATTTCTGGCAAAATTCTACATATTCAAAGTGTACTTAGAATAGAATTGTTAATCGCTTTTTAAAGAGACTAATTAAAGTAACTTCAAACAGGAAACGAAAACAGAGGATTTATATTATGGCGATAGTGGAGAGTTTCTTAATAAGATTCCCTCAGGAGAAAATGGAATATTCCTTTTTTATTTTTTAACACTGATCCACCCATCACTCCCACCACATACCTATTGCTTAGCAAATATTTAAAAACCCAAAATGCACTAACAACTGAAACTGGAAAGCTGTTGATAACTATATATATTTATAATCAGCTCCTAGCAGAATCTCTCCTCAGTTACATTTTTGCAAATCTCCTGAGAATTCATGAATGTACAGTGAAATGTCTAACTTTTGTTAGAATAATCAGGTTTAATTTAATGTATGACAAAATCAAAACAATAAAAATATAAAGAAAACATTCACTATTTTATGTTATGAAATAATAGGAAGGCATTTTCTGGGTAATTTTTCTTCCAAATAAGGAATGGATATATATTTTGCACTCTGACAAAATCTTATACTTCATCTCATCAGTGAAAGTACTTTAGAAATCCAAGAAGTGATTAATATTAGGGAATATATTGAAGTAACAGTCTTTCAAGTAAAACATTATTCTGTATTTATTTATTTATCCGATTTCATTATTAATTGGCACGCACCTACTATATATCCATCTATATTTATGACTTCATAGAAAGACTGTGTGTGTGTATGTTGCGTGACTAACTCCAGTGAAACAGAAAACCTTTTGAGAAATAAATATTTGACAGACAATTGAGGTTAATATTACATGAATACAATTTTTACAATTTTACTCAAAGATGCTGCCTCTACCACAAACTTTGTTATTGAATCTATGGCCATAAAAATTGTACCACTAACGTTTAATGATTTGGTGATACGTTTCTTCTCTCCAATGTCAGCATGGTATTTCTGATATTGCATCCTGTTCAAACAGGTCTTGTTTCTACTACATGTGCTTGTAAATGCCCCAGAAACTCAATCTAAGAGGAAACAAGCTCACTGAAAGGAATGAATAGCATTGGTTCCTTACTAGCACCTCTTTGTCCACTATGGAAGTTGTTCCTGCACACCTAAGAGACACAGAGTGATGTATAGATATCTGGGATTGGATCTTCCCACTCAAAAGAAAGTGAAGCCACTCTTACTTTTCGCCAGTCTCTGCTTTATCCATTCCTGGCATTTATCTGGCAAGCGTAGGGCAGAGTCTGCATCTGGGTGGGTGGAGGGGCATTATGTGGAACTAATTTAAAGCTGCAGCTAAAACTGTTGGCTGATAATTAAGGCAGCGCAGCACATGGGCTTGCTTGGGAAAATGATCCCTCTTCTCTAATTAGTGGCACACACGGAGTATTCCGTAGTTGACAAAGGAAGAGGATCTTCGATAGATGTATTTGTTAACAGCTCTTCTGATTCCAAAGCTCCAGCTGGACAGGCGCAACCCTCTCTTTCAATTGTTTAGACGGTGAAGTAGATTTCCCTTATTCCCATTTTACAGTTTGGGAATGAAGAACCAACGTTTAACCAGTTTGTCCTGAATTTAAATTTTTTTTGAAACTCGGGCCTCACTCTTTCTGTTGGATTGGGCTGCGTTTTTTGCATGCAGAATATCAGGGTTCTACTTGAAGACTTAATTTATCAAGTGGGCTTATAAATAAGAATGATCACATAATCCCAGCTGTTGTGCGAGTCTAAAATCATTATGCATAAATAGAAATATTGGTTATAAGTGCAAAGGGCCTGGTTTGAGTTCAGGAGAACAATAGTTTTCTGTAATGAAAAGGAGATATAGGTGTGTGTGTGTGTGTGCCTATGTGTCCCCATCCTTATGCACACAGCAATGGGCTCCTAGACTGAACAAGACAGCATAGCAACCTACTCATTGTACTTATTTCTGCTGTTAGCTCATAGCACCTTATTTTTTCTCCCCATAAAACAATTTTCGTTGGGGATATCTTTCTACTCCTGCCTTAATTTTGAGGATACATTGAAGGTCACACTCCAGATGTTATAATTATTCCTGTTTAAGGTTTTGAGAATTTCGTTTTTAATATGTATGATTCAGGACACAGATGTACGAGCAAGGCCCTTCAGATAGCAGCAGCAGTGGATCGCTGGGGCAGCTGGATCCAGAATGTCTGTGGGATCTCCAGCCAGATGGGAGGGCAGCTTTGGTGGGATTAAATCCCTTGGAGGCATTGGGAATACTCTGGGGAGGAGTGAGAGCCCATGATTTCCAGCTCCATGGAGTTGTAAATTATCAGAGGATTTAAACCATGGAGGGAGGCTTGATTTGTGATTTTTTTAAAAAAAATTAAACTTATTAAATTTATATGGCGGTCCAATCACCAAGTGACTCTGGATGGCTGACATTGAAAAAAAAAACAGGTAATATGAATTAAATAAAAAGGAAAAGCAAACATGGAACCACAAATATGGCAAAAGTTGATGTCTTTGTATATGTACATGTGGGTGTGCTTGTTGGTCTTCTTGGTGAGAGGAATTCTACATTTAAATGAAATATAAATCTGGAGATATATCGTATTTGGGGCCTTAAATTCAGCAAAAGTAACCAGGTTGGCAAGAATCCCTATTGTGGTAAATAGTGGAATGGAAATTACACCACAGAGCTTGATAAAAGGGACAATTGTAATAGAAATGCAGACCTCCTATTCTTTTTCTAAAACAGGTAGCTCTTTTGTTGTTCCTCATCCCTATAGAGACACTTGATTTACTGGAATCCAACAGTAAATAAATAGAATCCATCAGTACTAAGGAATGACAGTGCATGGAGTTGTATCTCTAACCCCCAATCACAACTCTTAAAATGATTTTTTGTGTGTGTTCTTATATTGAATGATTTAAAATACTTGAAAAACCTCTCACTTTTAAAATAAATGAGTGAGGCATCGCTTTAGGTCTCTTGTCCTTGAGAAAATAACATTCTTGAGTATGCCTTCTCAACACATTCAGTATCTCTTAAAAACGCTTGGCTACCTGAAATTTAGAGGGTGATATTTTTAAAACCTATTTTGACTGCTATTGTGTTTTTTTTAAAATGTTATTGCTATTTTAGAGGTGAAGGTTGTTTTTTAATGTGGATATCTGATTTTTAAATTAGTCTTCAACCAATATTAGGAAAGTAGCATAGAAAAATGTAAAAATGAACAAATTATTATTTCAGATTCCATGAGGTTGTCTGGAGCAGAGATGGCTCTGGATTCTTGAATTTTATTTTAATTTCAATATTGTCCAAATTAGCTTATGAGCAAGTCATACATCTGTTTTGCTGTATGTCAGTGGAAAAAAAAACTGGCTGCAATCCTCTGCACGTACACTAAGAAATCAGGTCTAATGAATGCAGTGGTAGTTTTAAGTAGACAAACCCCCAAAAATACATGAAGTAAAGAGTAAAAAATGAAATTTTCATTTTTCGCTTAAAGCTAACAAATTGTACAGCTTTTTGAGGAACGGGTGTTCATGGCTTTTTTCTTCCCTAATGTAAAGTTTCTAAAGAACAACATACCATTTGAAGATTTTCTAAGGTTTTTTCCATTGGTGTGATTTGGTGGGAAGAGTTCATCATTAAAAAAAAATAAAACAAGATAAAATTGAACACAATTCTCTTTTAACTGATTCTTTAAAGCGCAGTTGTTACCTTTTGAAAAATCAAGGAAATTTCTTTCAAAGTTTAGCTGCACATTGATTTATGAAGGATCTGGATATTTTTGTTGCATTTTCTGTACCATTTCCTGGAATTCTTTTATTTAAAAATCCAGGTTTTCATCAAATGTTTATCTCTGTGGAAAAGTGTAACTTATGCTGCACAATGTTGATAGATTCTTGGAGAGGAGGCATCACCCTCCCATTCTCTACGGAAGGTATGGATGTGACAGGATTTTGGAGAACCTGCTAGCAAATGTCCTGCTTTTTGCAGCGAGAGCAGAGATCATAATGAAGTATCAGAAAACAAGTTAGTATTACTCTGCCCTGCAAATCTCTTCTTCCGATGTCCAGGAAGTATTGTTTCACTTGTATCTTGGATGCAAATC